AATAGGAAGACAAATCCTCTGTATTCTGGATCAAGTGCTCAAAGACCTCACGATTGAGCTCGTTGACGAACTTCAAGGTGTATGCGGTGCCCTCCGCATCAAAGCATAACCCTGAGGTTGCTTGCTTAGCCTTGTCCAGACTGCTGTAGTCCCTGAATAGGGCCGAGCCCCAAGCCCATCCGTTGACGAATGTGGCAGGAATGCTGAAGGAGAACCCGCCCCTGTTGGCCTTCTGCTTCCCCTTCGTGCAGTAGCCATGAAATGAGCTAGGGGTCACTTTAACTGGCCTGGCACGCATGATGTGCTGGTATCGCAGGACACCAAAAGTAACCAGCCAGCTAGACAGTAAGCCCCTCCAACGCGGGTCCCCTGCTTCGTACAACGATTGAATCTTCTCTTCAAGCGCTGCAATCATTGGGGGCTCAACTGCAACAGCCTGCTCTGGGTTTGCCTGTTTGGGTGGATTCTTACGAGCTGGAACCGGTACATCACTGAAGTCCCATTGCAAACGGCCATGTTTGGAGAAGCACTTCAAGGAGTGAAATGCTCGGTAAGGCCCCGACGTGCCATTCTGCAAGAAGCCATAGAGGTCCAATGCATCCGGTGGGAACAAGCGGTCCTTCTGCTCCATGTAGGCCCGCAACTCAGCCCAAGACTTCAGGGCATTCACCACCGTCGCTCCTTCGGCCTCTGTGACCTTCCGCTTCGACAAAGTATCCAGAGCGTCCTGCCACTGAGCGTACCTCTCCGGGGTCAACTCCCCTTGAGGACGCATGACCTTGGCCTGGGAAAAGGCCTTCCTCAGTGCCGCAGCTCGCAGCAGCACCGTCTCTGGTTGGTCTGGGCCTGGCCGAACTCGAAGAGCTTGGACCATCTTGCTCTTCTTCATCATGGATGCCTTGGGCGCGGGCCATGTCGTTGGCCGATCTCTGGAGCCCGAGCTCTCAGCCACAGCAGCTGCTTGAGGGATGAGGTCAGCTTCGACAGTCTTGGATCGCGCTTGCAACCACGCATCTGCCACATGGTGTCCTCCATGTGCCACTGCGCTGTCATAGGATGCAAACGCATATGCAAAGTCAGTCTCATCATGTAGTCCCCATTGAGCTCGCCACTGTTCGACACGAGTGGATGCCACCCTCTCCATCGCCGTCTCTGCGCAAGGCGGCGCTTCGCCAGCAGCTTGCACCGCGTAGGCGCCTGGGTGGTACGCCATGGCGACGCCTGACACCACCGCCGCCAAGGTCTGGAGCGTACGGGCTGGGCCTGAAACTGCAGACCAAACCTCAGTATCATCAGGCAACAAACAAACATCACTAGGCCGCAGCTGCTGCAGATGGGTCTCGACGCAAGACGGGGTGACATCCTGGACACTGGGAGGGTGGACAGGTACTGCACACGGAGGAGAAGCACCGCTCACAGAGCTCAGGTGTCGGCAGTCCACAAGCCCTGCAAGGTGGCAAGGGTTCCTCCCCAGCCTCCATGGCACCAAGCCAGCCCCATAACGACCGGACTGCTCTGGCCCGTGGTGCTCTCCACGCAACCAGGTCAGCCGGGATGGGCACCAACGATGGATCCCTCCATCGACGCTGTGGGGATTGCCAGGTCCTCCACACGTCCCACAGTTCGGTGAGGTCGACCATGCTATCGGCATTGTGCTCGATGAAGGCGACCAAACCAAAGATGTTGTCCGGCGCAAAGTCCCGAGACGTCCAATCAGTCCGCAGCGGCTCGATGAGTAGCAAATCCAGCCTCGCCTCACCCAGGCGATCATAGTAGGATTGCCACGCACGCCGCGGGTCACTCCCGGGCAGAGCCAAGACAGCTGAGCTGTTCCATGTGCCGATCCAAGGGAACTTGAATCCTCCCTGATACTCAGTGCACCTCCTACAGTTTTCGTCCATACAAGGTGACCGTCTGAAAGGGGGAAGTCCCTGCACCCCCAACCCAATTGGATGTGGGGGGAAATGATCAATTTGGCACACAGACGCCCACAGTCGCCCACAGTCGGGTGGCCTGGGCCACCATGCCCCGTTGGAGCAAGCTCTCCACGTGCGTCTTGAACTCGTGGTAGGCAGCAGCATGAAGAAGCTCCGCATCGGTGTGGGCAGCCTCATTCCAACCGGGCCGGACGACGACGGAGGCCCTGGGCATCGGGGGGTGACCTCCCACCTCGTAACCTCCGTACTCTAGGGTAACGCCCTAGTAGAGGAACGAGAAAACCACTAACCCTAGGGTAACTCCCTAGAAGTGGCGTGGGTACCCCAGCAAAAGAAAGAACGATGAAGCCAGTTTGGCTCAGACTTGAGCCAAAATGGATAATAAGTTATTAATGGTTATTAATGGTTATCAATGGTTATTAATAAGTAATTAATGGTTATTACTGGTTATTAATGGTTATTAATGGTTATTAATGGTTATTAATGGTTATTAATGGTTATTAATAGGTAATTAATAAGTAATTTATGGTTTTTACTGGTTATTAATGGTTATTAATGGTTATTAATGGTTATTAATGGTTATTAATAGGTTATTAATGGTTATTAATAGGTTATTACTGGTTATTAATGGTTATTAATGGTTATTAATGGTTATTAATGGTTATTAATGGTTAATGGTCACTAATGGTTAATTGAAATTTTGACCCATCCCCATTTTCACCCTGGGGAGAGCGTTTGATGAATTGCCATCAACACATGGGATCGTTGTTATCGGGCCTACAGTCGAGGAGAAAACCATTGATTTCGCGGGAAAAGATGGGACATCTATGGGGGGGTCCTTTCTAAAATGGGGGTACCCCAATAGTTGGATGGTGAAAAACAACGGACGGGCTCGCAGCGCAGAACATGTTTGGAGGTTTCCTAAGTCATGTACCCCAAAAATCATCCAAATTTAGACCGATTTAGGATTGAAACCTATGGTTTTGGGAAAACCCCTATTTTAAGAAAACCCCACATCCAAAAGGAAAAGAAGATAGATTCAACAGAAACATTAAATTGGACCCAAAAAGACACGTGGGGCTTAACCGACAAAATTTGGTTTGTGAGAGAAGTGAGGTAAAATGTGGATTGCCCTTATTAGAGCCATGGTCAAGGTTTCTCATATGGTTTCTCGTCAAGATGTTGGTTCCTTGGAAACAATGAACCCTTTTCGGTCCTTGACTGTAGACAGAAACTGCGAACAGGGAATGACCTATGACTAAAGTGCACAATTGCACCTTTGGCTAAATTGTTTGCACAGATCTATTGTTGAATAAACACCTATGTTTGACGTCTTGTCAAGAGTCGTCTATCAATCATCAACCTGTTGAAGGAGAAGAGGTGTTTTTGTTCGTCCTGGGATCCTTTTTTGGATCTCTTGTTTTGTCCATCTTCCTTGCAGCACTTTAGAGCTGGAAGCTGCCATTTCAACGGTCTTGAGTTTTTTTGCATTGTACTTGCAACATTTCGGTGCTGGAATGTTCATGTTTCATGTTGTTTTGCAAGGTTCAACTAGGGTTGGTTTAGGGTTTACCGCCGCTTGACTTAGGGCTGGCTTGAGATCTAGTTAGGGTTAGTTTGGGTCGTTTTAGGCTCAGTTTGTTTATGCAGGCTTTGTTTAAGATAATATTCAATATAACAATACATCAAATTAAATTATATTATATTACATTAGATTCTATTATGCTACTACTACTACTACTACTACTTTTAAAAATAATAACAATAATAATGCTAATAACAATAATAAAACATAATAGTAGTCAAAAACTGAGCATTACAACGGTTTGTTTCGAGTCATTTAGGGTTGGTGTAGGGTTGCATATTATCTGGTATTCTATCTTAAATTCTATCTGACATTCTATCTGGGCTGTATGTACAACAGTCCATCGTGCATTCTATCTGACAGGTTGTCTGTGATTTTGTCCAACATTTATTTAGACATTTTAGCTGGCATTCTATCTACCATTTATTCTGACATTCTATCTCACATCTTATCTGACATATGTTCTAACATTCTATCTGACATATATCTGACATCTTCTTTGGCATTCTGCCTGGCAATCTTTCTGTAATTTTATCTGCATACATTCCGATATTCTGGCATGATCTGGCATCATATCACATCTGACATTTTATCGCACATTCTATTTGGCATTCTATCTGGGATTCTCAGTTGGCAAATCGGTGGAAGAATATATCTTCCAAAACTTAGTCGTTAACGATCAGATTAACATGAAATGTTCATGGATTCACACATATGTGGTGTTTTTTTCCGAAAAGTAGTAAACATTCTGATGGTGCTGAACCTGATGAAATTGCTGACAATGTGGATGATAATGCTGATGATAACAATGAAATCGTGTTCCTGGTGTTGATAATCTTCATGACTATGATATTACGTCTGTTGAAGGTGATGATGATCATGATTCGTAGTGTTGATGGTGCTGCTGGCGATGCTGCTGTCAGTTTGTCTCAATGCTGATGATCATGTTGGTAGGATTAAAGCTGATCACGTTTAAATCCTGGTGCTTCAGGTTACTGAATATAAAGCAAACCTGTAAACATACGATGGTGATGCTTATAATAATGATGCTGGACATGATGTTGATGATGCGGATGGTGTTCATGATTACATATTAGATTACATATGTGTCTAGTGATCATGTTTATGCAGACTGCTCAAAACCGTTCATTGACGTTTGTTTTACTGCTTTGCATGCGTTCATGTGATGCGGTATTCAGGTCTACAATTATTTGTACTATACATTTTGGAAAACAAGTCACACTCTGAGGCAGGGAAAAACCTTCTTGGAAGGAGGAAATCCTGCCAAACTCCACTGTGCTGCGGA